AATGTATTTGACTTTTCACAAATATTTGTCTTATTCTAGGTAAGACCGAAGCCCCTCAACCTGGGTTCTAGTCCTCTCCCTTTAAGAGGGCCTCTGGGAGGAACTTTACAGATTTTTTTTTTTTTTGTCTTGTTGAGACAGGGTCTCCCTATGCAGTTCAGGCTGGCTTTGAGTTCACTCTGTAGCCCAGGTTGGTTTTGAACTCCAAGCGATCCTCCTGCCTCAGCCTCCTGAGTGCTGGGATTATACCCTGCCATACCAGATTTTTTTAAATGCACGTTGTTTTTGAGACTAGTTTGTGGTTTACGGAAAAGCTGCAGAGATAGTAAAAGTCCTGGAGCTTTCCTGGCTGTTGCTCCTGTTTGTCTTGTATTACCATGATACATTTATCAAAACTGAGAAGCCAACGCTGGTCATTACTATTAACTTCAGCAGACATTGCGAGTGTTTAATCAGCTTCCCCATTCATGTCCCAGTTCAGCATTTTGCCTTTAATTCTTATCTCCTCTCTGCTTCCCCGGATGTTTTAATAATTACTCTTAGATGTGTGGATGTGAACTTGTCAGTGTAGAGTATGTGTGTCTGTGTTTAAATCAGTGTCTGAAAATTCCAGAAACACTGGGGAATTTCATTTTTAAACAATATGTTAGTTGATTTTTCAAACAATAAGCTCTCTGTAATTTTCTTCATTCTCCAAACACTTTTCCAGCTGAAATTTACAACTATGTATTCAAATAGCCACGTGACAAAAAAAAAAAAAAAAAGGAAAGAAAAAGAATAAGTTTCCCCGCCGAACAATGAGTTATTTTCCTAACCTTGTTAGGCTTTCCAGTGCTCTGCGCAGACACGGTTTCAGAATGTACTTTGCTTTTTCCCCTCACTCCAGATTTCAGATCTGACATCCATTCACGTTGCTGTGCGGAGATGTCACCCGTTCTTAGGAGCTTCTGTAGTCCATCATTTGATGGAGTGAGGTTTCAGGATTCCCGTCCCCTGTTTATTCATGTCCCTGTGACAGACTTTTTGGTCCTTTCTGGTGCTTTCAACACATGCTGTATCTCTGGGGCTTGTGGGCTGCACTTGTTCTGGTGTAGAGGGAGGCAGTCGGATGGTTCTTGGATTCTGGGAGGCAGGGGTCTGAGTTCCTGGCATTCTTTCTTTCTTTCTTTTTTTTTTTTTTTTTTT